TGGAACAGAAAAAAATAAATACCTCGCTCATTCCGCAGGGAAGAGGAAAGCGTGCAGTGGTGCCCATGCACTGCTTCAGGCTTTCTGGTTGGTCTGGAGAGCCTGCTGGAGAGGGACCCTTGGGCCAGCCTGGCAGACTCTTTAAAAGTATTACCTCAGCATCTTCAGGGCAAAATTCCCAGTCACTCACCCCAGAAAGCATATAAAAACAGCACAAGGGCAAAAGCCGTCACAACGCCTTCAAAAGCAGGCCTAGCAGCATTTTGAAACCGAAAAAAGCCATTGTCAGAAACAGCCAGGCAGCCGTCAGGTCAGGAGCAAGCCAGAGTAGCAAAATACATTTTAAGGCCTCGAAAGCTATGGTGGTGGGATCTTTCCAGGGGAGTGGGGCCACTGCAGAGAAGGCCTCGGGTGTTTTTAAGACAGCTGCTGAAGGGGTGCCTAGCAAGGGTGAGGATGCAGGAGAAGGTGCATTTGCCCAAACCGTCCTAGGCACCGTTGGAGAGCCGATGGGACTTCTCTGAGCCATGATGGTTGGCGCGAAGAGCTTTCTGTCTGGAAGCAGTGCCAGTCAATGAGCTTTGGACCTCCATTCAGTGCTGCCTCCACGTTTTGCTTGGAAAATTATAAATAGACAACAGCTCTGCACAGCATTTCGCCACCCCACCGAATGAAAGCAGCCCGTCCCTCAACCGCTTGGGAGAAACAGCATTTGAGGTCAAAGAACTGAGACCCCGTGGTACTAAGAATAAAGTGTCTTGTTAGTTTTGGACTCTTCCTAGCAATTCTCAGACGATTATCTTGGGTATTGCTAGTGGTCCAGCCCTGCAAAGTGGCATTTTCCAGAGGGGTGATCCTATTTCAGAGGGCTTCGGGCACCAAGAGAGAGGGCACACGCCATGCCAAATGTAGTCTCATGGTGCTGTGAAATTTGCACATGCCAATTTATATGTATAGGTGCAAATTTGGAATACTGTTTAAGGTACTTCCTGGTATATCGGGGAGAGACTAAGCTAAGTGCTGGCCTTCTAAGCCTGCCGGTTGGGGTCTGCTAACTTGAACCTGTGTTGCTATTAGGACTTTAGAAGTAGGAAGTATATGGTTTTATACCCATATCACAGATGAGGAGTTGAGTCTGGAAGGATCTCTTCTTGGACTACCAAGGACTTCTTGGTGGCACAAGCCCCTGCTCCGCTTTTTCGCTTTTAACTCCCATATCTCCGTTGAGAACAATTTGAGAATTGCAAACCATGCTCACCCCAGAGAGCGACGGACCTTTCAAAAGGGTGATTTGTGGTATGACCAGGAAGGATTTTTTCTGACTCCCCACAGAGTAGCAATAGCAACTAGAAAAAGGCTTTCTTTCTCTCCAAAAATGTAGCTTGTCAAAACAAAGAAGGCTTAGGGAAGAAATCCAGAAGTGCGTTTCCCCTGTTTTTAACTTGTGATCAAAGCAGAAACGAAGTTCTGGTGTTGCCTTATCTCCAGTAATGCACATCTCTTTGATTCTTTATCCTCCACAAGCAAGCAAACTGCAGAAGTGGAAGGGGCAGATGAAACCCTTCTATGGGTCTCCCAATGCCATTAGGTCCCTGATGGGTGTGTTGGCAGGAGGATTCCCTGGGTAGATCCACCCACAAAAGCCTAAACAGAAGAAAGGGGGTGGCAACTAGAAGAAGGGTCTTTTGGTAATGGCTCCTCATCTCTGCAACATGCTTCTTAGTAAGCTGCGCCTACCGCCATTCTTGACACCTTTTTTTCCCCAAATATTTTATTGGTTAAATCTGTGTTTTATTGCCGAGCTAGTTTTAGAATATTGTCTGCAAACTCTTGTTGTCCCAGGTTGTGTTCTCCTGTGATTGTTATTGTTACGTGGGTTTGGTTTTATAATACGAGTGTATTGGTTTTACGTCTTTGTATGAATTCCATTTACGATTTTAATATCTGTAAACCAGCCAGAGAGCCCCAGGGCTATCGGGCGGTATACAAATGCAATAAATAATCAGTTCACCTATTCAGTTTTACACGGCTTGGGAACACAAAGCTTCCTCACTGTCCGAGCAAAAAGGCAGTGGAACCTATGAGCTCTCCCACACTAGAGACATCCAAAAGCCGCCCCGAGGCTTCGGCGAATGGGGCGGCATAAAAATGTTTTAATAAATAAATAAATGGAGACTGGGCAGCCATCGGAGCAGGATGGTGCCAACTGGTATCCTGCAGCAGCAGGGGGTGGACCCTGGCCTTCGCGGCCCCTTCCAGCTCTGCTCTTCCGAGATTCTGTAATATCCCTCCGTGTGTAAATGCCAGTTGTGTGAATCGTCCGCCTTGCTCAGCTGGGTTCTCTCTCTGCTGTGAGCAGACCGAGCTCTGCTTTGCCCATCAAGCCTTTCATTCCCTCCTCCAAGTCGGGCTGTTTTCCTGCTGGCAGGCTGGAACCCTTTTCCCCATCCCGTTTTTCTTCTTCCTAAAATGGGCATTTCATGTGCCTACTCCATCTCACTTGCCATCCTTTGAACCTAAGAATTCCCCTTAGCTCCGATTTCCAGTGTGTTTCTCCACCCACATATATACACACAGTTTTTTTCCTCATCAGGCTATGGGAAAATCTGTAAAGAGTGGGGAACCGTGTGTGTGTGTGATCACACCACAGAACAACTGCGTTCTTTGTGCTTCCTTGCCTCCTTTCTTTCCCCAGCATGCACCTAGGAGCTCTGTTGTGGTAGGAAGATGATTAACTTATGTCTGTGCTTGATCATGGGAGTCCTCATCTGCCCTTGGCCCACACGGTATCACAAGCAACTCACAAGTCCCTGGGGAAAAGTTGGGCGTGTTGTGAGCCATGGAGGTGAATTTTGGCAAGACATATGCCCAGAACAGTGCTGGCACCAGGTTTGGGGGGTTTGCTTTTTTTGTCTGGGTGGAGAAGGGACCTCTCTGCTCTTGCACACACGTGTCCTGGCTGCTGGGAAAATCTGCGTCATTACTCAAAGGCAAGGCAAAGGAGAAAAATACCGGCAGCTGCCTTTATTTTGCTTTTTCCTATAGCTTGTTGATATCTGTTGGGTCATGGTGAGTGACAGCAGGAAGGCCTTCTTGGTGGTGACCCCTGAACTGTGGAACTCACTGCTGCGGGAGGGTCCATTGGTTTGAGCTTTGTCATTTTCCCAGCAGCTGGCAGAGAGACTGTGTGTGGGGGGGGGGGGGGGGGGGGGGGAAAGAGAGAGCTGGCCTGCTGAATTGGCTAAACTTTCTATTCTTTTATCCCCGTGTTCCTTTTGTTTCTCATTGTATTTCTTTAATTATAACTTAAAACAACATTTTTTCCTATGACCTGGTAGGAAGAAAAGCATGTATGTTGCAGGAGGATATGGGATGGGGAAACACCCACTTGGAAATTTTACTCTGGAAATTGGAGCAAAGGATGGTGAGTGAGTGCGACAGCCCAGGTATCCAGAAATTACTTCTGTAATTCCTGTTATAGACAAGGTTTTATTTTAAAGCAGTGCTTCCCATTTTAGCCCCCCTGAAGACCGCTTCCCTGATGGAAAGGCTGTCCATGTCAATTTCTCCCATTGGACCTGTCAATTTCTGCCTGTCAACTGCACAACATTTTCAGGTCTATCTGGAGTGGAACAAAGGTAGTTGTCCACTTTCCCGATGAAGGAATGTGGTGTTTTCCTCCTGCTCCTAGAATTGCAATATTTCAGTGAAAGATGGCGACTGGATTCAGCACCTGGGCGTGTAGCTGGAGTAGATGAGACTTGCACTTTCCATCTTATTACTAGTCTCCCTTTGGGTTTTTGGCCATTTTCTTTCAAAGGAGAAGCACTCCACGCACATTCAGCTGTACTGTGGTTGTAGGACTTTCTTTAAGGTTATGATTCTCTTCACATGGATGCACACACTGGTGTGTGCTTAAGTGTGTTTTGAAAGCATGCAGACTTGGTTCTCCTTGAAGGAAAAAAAAAAGATTGGCACAAAGAGGAACTAGAAATTGCGTCTTTGTTTACCGTTGCTAGATTTGCAATTCTGTTTTACTGCAGTGTTTAGTGACCATTTGGTCAACAGTACTGGATTTTTATTCCTACAGTATGGCGCATTTGTATCTTGGTCCCTAAGGGCTCAGCTAGATCTTTGGGTAAAAGTGGGATGAAACCGTTTGAAATAAATGACATTAAACCGAACGATTCCTTGATCGTTTGAGCTGCCCTTTTCTGCATCCTGTAAATCCCAGGTAACCATGGTTTCCATTCCCTCTTCTAAAATGGGACAAGGCTTAGGGCAAGGGCTGGACTGGGCTGAAAAATGGCTCTCCAGATGTTTTGGACTTCAACTCCCAGCATCCCTGACCAGTGTACGTGGCAACAGGAGCTGGGTGTTGGAAGGGTGTTGGAAGTCCCGAATATCTGGCGCTTTATTGTCTGCCCATCCATGGGGGCATGCCTAAACACTGCAATCTACTCGGCAGTTAGGGGGCACAGACATGAATCAGTGCTGTCTGCGCACGCCGCACGTGCTGCGACACTGAAGCCGAGGATTTTGGATTTGCACGTTCCCCCGAAGGTCCTTCGCCTCCAAGATAAACCTCAGGAGATTTCTCCCCGTTTTGCCCTTAAATTCCCCTCTCCGCCTCCAGTAAGGCCTCTTGGACTACACTGGCCCGCTCCCCTCGGCGGGAGCGGGCAAAGCCCCGCGAGTGACTGCGGAGCCGAGCGCAGGACAAAAGTGGCTTTCTTTCCGACGATGAAATGAGTCACGATTCAAGAGCACACAAAAGGCCTTCCCCACATAGATGGCCTTTCTCGGTCTCCATGGCAACGCCCCCCCACCGAGCCGCACAGGAATACATTTCCCAGCATGCCCCGGCGCCGTTCGGGGAAGCCTGCCGGATAAGCCGAGGGAGACGGCGGCGAAGGACTCGCTCTCCCGTGACCTCCCGCGCCGCCGGGCCGGAAGTGGCTGCTCCTCAGGCGGCGCCTTAAAGCGGAAGCGCGGAGCCGGGGCGGGGCAGCAGTTCCTTTCGGGCCTCGCTGGACGCGCGGGACTCACTCGGAGCTTGGCCGCCGCCGCGGAGGGAGAGGAAGCCGCAGCCGCCCCGAGCAGCCTCGCACCGGCCGCCGTCTCTTTCTCCTCGCCCTGCATCACCCACAGAGCCATGGTAAGGCCCGGCGCGCGCGCCCCTCCCTCCGCTTGCCCCCCTCTGCCTGGCCGCCATCTTGTCTCCCGGCCGCCATTTTGTGGGGGCTCCTGGGGGCCCCCTTTCCACCTCCCGTTTTTTGGGGGGCGAGAACAGCGAAGGGGCCTTGGGGACCTCGGGCGGCCCCTCGCCCCCTCGTTGCCGGCGGCTGCTCGGCCACTTCTCCCCCCATGCTGGCGGTCACATGGCTGGCAGAGGAGGGGCCTTCCGCCCCCTCCTTTTGACCGCCTTTCTTCGTTGTCTGCAGCCCACCTTTCTTCTGGGTCTTTTCCTTGCCCCTCCCTGCCCGACCATGCGTGGGGGTGCAGTAGCTTCTCCCTCCTCTCCCGCCCCCAAAGTCCCCTCGTCTCTCCGCTGTTTCAAGGATTAGAAAGGGAGCCCCGGGGTCGGGGTGCTGGCTTTCCTTTTTCTCCTTTGGAGGTGCGCTTGGGTCCTTTCTCTTCGGCTCAGCACCCTGTGGGTCGCCCCCCCCCCAATGTCTCCCTGCTGTACCAGAACTAGAGAGGGAACTCAGGAAACGGGGGGGGGGAGGACTTCCTTCCCTCGAAATACTTCTTCTGTATTTATTTATTTAGGAGACTTCTACGGCGCCCCAGTCGCCGAAGCCTCGGGGCGGCTCACATCCATAAATAAACTTCCATATAAATCAGCAGTATAAATTAAGTCGCGCAAGAGATGCGTGGTTTCTTCCTCCCGCTTTCAGAACCAAGGAGAGGATGCTCGGCTTCTCGCTGCCTCTCGCAGCGCGCATTGTCTCTCGCGGCTGCCGCTTCCCGGAGGAGCGGGGTGGGTGGGTGGGTGGGTGCGGGGGGCCTGGCGTGGGGGCCTCGCTTCCTCGCGTGCACCTTGCAGTGCCTGCCCTCTTCCCGAGCAGGAATGCAGATCTCGGGGGTGGGGGGGGAAGGATGCAGGCCGGGCCCGTGTGCCCGCGCCCCCGGGGGGACGGCGGGGACGGCTCGGGGTTTGGGGCGGGCTGGAGAGTTGCAGCATCCTGATCCGCAGAAGGCCTGGCGCAACCGTTACGCAACTGTCCAAAAACGGTGCTTGGGAACCGCTGTTCTCCGCCCGCTTCGAGAATATAATCCTGCCCGGCCGGCATTCCACTTCGCATCTTTCATGCTGCTTTTTGTCCCCTTCCCCAGCGCTGGCCTGTCAGAAGGTGCCTTCCAGCACCGCAGATACATTTTCTGGCCTTTCGGCTCTCCTTTCTGCTTCAGTACCCCCTCCACTGTAAATCCTCCTTTCCTTCCCCCCTTGACGCCTGAATCTCTCTCCCATGGCATGAATGGACTGGCAGATGCCCTACGGTGAGAGAGCCTCATTTCTTTGCATTCTCAGCTTAAACGGACTGTGGATCGCTTTCCTACTGTGCTCATATCCTGGTTACCGCCACTTAACCTCCCCCCCCACACCGCATGCGGCACAACCCAACTTCCTTTTCTGGAGCTAGCAGCAAGCGGCCAGGCACCGCCTCCTTTCCAAGCTGGCAGCGCTAGGTACCTGCTTTCCCATGCTGTTCTTCCCCACCCCGGGCAGCTTGTGCAAGATTTTATGAGTCTTTTCCTCCTGCTTTTTCCTGGGGGCAGGCATGGAACCAGGGACACCCTCATTTCCTATGCACTCCCTGCTTGGTTTACCTTCCAGTTCAGAAAGGTACTTCGCCCAGATCTGCCACTCCCAGGATCCTGCCCATGGAGAATAAAAATAGCCAGGACTTGCGTCCCGGGCCTTTCTGTTTTTCTTGTGGGATGGAACCTCTGACTTGTCCCAAAGGGTAATTGGGGGCTTCCTTTGTGTTGTGTGCAGAAGCCATCTAGTCATTGAAAGTACTCCTTGTAAAAAGTGTGTGAGGGCTGGGTCATAGGAAGGGATGAGACACCGGCCTGGTTCTTTGCCGAACAGGATGGGGGAAGCATTTCATGATGGGCACCGCCTCTCGTCATTGGCTGTTTGGGGCTTTCTGAGCAGGGGCCCACAAACCCTGCCTGGCCGCCTCAGCCAGCCAGCCAGCCGGACTTGCGGTTGCCGTGAAGCTGCCCTTTTCTCCCCGTGTGTGTGGGAGGTGCCTCCGCCACGCTGAGCTGTGCACGTGGTCCCGGAGCCTGTGCGGCACGAAGCCAGGGATGCGGCCTCCTTCCGCACTCAGGCAGGAAGTGGGGTGGGAGGTGACGTGCAGCCGTTCGTCCTGGCTTGCAGCCACCCCACCGGTCCCCCCCCGTGGGTTTGCTCCGTCTCTCCCTCGAGCTGCCAGTCGCCCCTCACCTGCTGGCCCCGAGGCCTCCCTTCTCGCATGTGGTGTGCGTGCACACTGCTGGGTGCGCCAGTGCCCGCATCTCACCCGTGTCTCCCCTCCCGGCAGGCATCCGGCGTGGCTGTCTCCGACGGCGTCATCAAGGTCTTCAATGACATGAAGGTACGCAAAGCTTCTACCCCGGACGAGGTGAAGAAACGCAAGAAGGCAGTGCTTTTCTGCCTCAGTGAGGACAAGAAGAACATTATTCTGGAAGAGGGGAAGGAGATTCTGGTGGGGGAGGTGGGGGACACCATTGAAGACCCCTACCTGCACTTCGTCAAGATGCTGCCCGACAAGGACTGCCGCTACGCCCTCTACGACGCTACCTATGAAACCAAGGAGAGCAAAAAGGAGGACCTTGTCTTCATCTTCTGGTGAGGGCCCCCCCGAAACCGTTCTAGGACTATTCCCAGGCGCCCCACGTCCCCCCTCCCCTTAGCGCTTACGGCAGCCCGGAAGAGCAGTTCCTCGGAAGCGCCTGGCTGCACCGCCACGCACTTAGAAGTGAATGGGGGTGGAATTCTGGAAGCTCTTCTGCCAAGGGGCTTTTTATTCTGAGGTTCTCCCGAGAGGCCCTTCCTTCTCGCCTGGAGCCCCCTCTGCTCGGTGGTTAAAAAAACAAAGCGCAACACCCTGGCTGTCCCCTCAACAAGAAGCTGATCTCTGGCCACGTACTTCAGCTCCCAGCTGATGTCTAGCCTTGCTCCTAAATCTCAGGCAGCCCGCTTCCTCCCGAGTCGAGGGATCAGAAAACCTGGAGGGCTGGCCCCATGAGTTTAGGCAGCCTTTAGCTGGGGATGCTGGGAGAACTTGCGGCTTCCAGTGTCTCAACTTCTGTCCGCTTGGTTTACTTTAATAGTTGGCATGGAGGGAGAGAAGAGGAGTGAGAGTAGGAAGAGGCCTGGAAGTCCCTCACGGCGAGCCCCCTGCTCCACTTTCACATGTGGTCACCCATCCAGCTGCTGGCCTGTGCCCTCCCAGCTTAGCAAACCTGACTCGACAGTCTAGCTTGATGGATAGCCACCCGAGAAGGGACTGCCCTACCTCAACCCAGTGGTCCTAGAGTAGGGTATCGCAGGGCCTCAAGCATCATATGGCACGACACATGTTGGTATCAAGGCTCGACGCTGGAATAAGACATACAGGGCCAGTCCTCCTCCCCCGAACCGAATGCAGACAGCTCTGGGGGAAGAATCCCTACATTCCACTGTCTGTGTCCACGCTGCCCCTCCCCAAGAAGTCCGGGTTGAGGGGAACGCATGTTTCAGTGCTGCCATGTTATGGAACAACAGTCGTTGAGTAAGAAATAGGGTAGTGCAGTTAACTCTGGAGCGATAGGAAAAGCTGCGGGAAGCAGAGGGCAGGCCCTGCGTTCATCTAGCAGCGGCTCTCCAGGGGTTTGGGCAGGGTTCAGGATTCCTTTGCTTGCCCTGCTGGAGGTGCCAGGGGTCAAATGGGGTGGGGGGCTGCTGCCTGCGAGTGTGGGCTTTTCCACTGGGCTGCAGCACCAGCCTGCCCTCAGGACTTGCCCTGGTCCTGTTGGCAGCTTTGGCTGGAGGGCTGCCCAGGGAAGCTGCCCTCTGTCCTGTCGAAGGGACCGAGGCCCCGGTCTGGGGTTCTCCTGGGAGCAGGTGAGCCGCGTGCAGCCGTCTCGCCCAGGCTCTTGCCCCCTGCCCGTGTTGGAGGGCAGCGCTTCTAGGGTCCAGCTGGGCTGCCCCGGGTGCTGTTGCTGCCGCCTCTCATCCCACTGAGCCTATGCCTTGGATGATTTTGGGCCAACTCCTGATGCCAAGGTTGCTCTTCTTTCCCCTCGCAGGGCGCCAGAATGTGCCCCCCTGAAGAGCAAGATGATTTATGCCAGTTCTAAGGATGCCATCAAGAAGAAACTTACAGGTCAGAGCTGGTGCTGGGGCGCGCGGGCGGGTGGGGTGCTGGGGCGTCTGCTCCGCCTGCCTGCGCCTTGTTCTTGAGGCCCCGTCGTGGAAGCACGTAATAAAGTACAGTGGCTGGCTAACCACAGCTTGGTTGCATACCCGGGATTAGTGCGCTGGATCTCCAGCGCACCGCTGAAGCGTCGGTCCTGGATTAGTCAGCAGTGGAGCGCATGCGGTGCGGTGCGGCAGCTCACAATTGCTAGTGCAGCGTTCTGTTCTGCCTTGCCAAATGCTCGGTCCCGCATTTGCCCTTCAAGAGCTGCGATCTCGGAACTGTAGAAGCTGAGGCGGAGAGGAGCGCGTTGGGAGCCAGCTCGCTCCCTCGGTGCCTCGCTTGGTCCTTGTCCCCAGTCAGCGCTCCCCCTCCACCCAGCCGAAAGGAGGGGTGGCCAGAATGGTCGGGACAAGCCGGGGTCAGTGGCCGCACTGTCCTGAGAAGCCCCTTGGCACAGACATCTAAAAGATGATGGGCTGGATCTAGAGTGAATCCCATTTGGAAGCTGGTTTTCTTTTGCGGTTCTTCCTTGTCTCACGGTGTGCGCTTAATTAAGGCCAGTGGGACACATGAGAAACGCTGTTGTCATTCCAATGGAATGGAATCTTGACGTGGCCTTCCCCAACCTGGTGCCTCCCACCTGGCCAAGGTGGCTGGAAAGCAGCAGCGAGGGGTGTGACTTCTTTGCTTTGGGTAAACCCTGCTTATCTTCAAGATGGTCTAAGCCTTCTAGAACAAACAGCGAACCAGGGCCTTGGTCTGTCAAGGTGCAAAGGCTCAGCTCTAGGCTTAAGAGGTGCCCTTTAGCCCCACTGCCTTCTGTGGGGCCAAACCGTGGCGGTTTTAAGACCCGCGTTGCGCATTTTAGTGTTTTCTTTCCCTGCTGGCATCTCTGGTGCTGTCTTCCCCGCTCCACCGTTTTGTGGCAGCCGCTGAAAGCGAGGTGCTGGGGCCGCCTGGGTGCCCTGTTCTGCCAGCCGCCGGCCCGCACGGGCTCTGTACTGACTCCTGCCTTTTTGGCCCGTTTCATCTGACACAGACTTGCTGCTGTCCTCAGTGAGGGCCTTGCTGTGGGGTTGTATTCAGGCTGGGCCCAGCATCATTCTCTCTGCTGCCTGGGAGCTGAGGACGGGGCGTTCCCACCCTGAGCGCCCTGGCAGTGTCTTCTGGCTCAAACGTGGCCCAGCAGCTGTTGGTCGAAGGCGGAGGGAGAGGGAAGGATTCGCCATTCTGTAGCTCAGATCGTGCCCTTTCCACGGGGCGTGACGTGACGTGGCCCTTCAGCCATTTGCCTGCTGGAAGCACGTGGGGGAAGCGGTTCCTCTCCCTCCCTGGGGGCCGGGAAGGTGGATTTCCTGTCCCGGGCGGGGGACGGGCCCGCGCCGCGATCTGGATGTGGGTGGGACTGCCGGCCGGCACATTTCCTCACCTCATCAGCCGCCTCTTCTCTCGCAGGGATCAAGCACGAGATGCAAGTAAACTGCCTCGAGGAAGTGAAGGACCGCTCCACCCTGGCGGAGAAATTGGGCGGCAACTGCGTCATCAGCTTGGAGGGCAAGCCCTTGTGAGCCCTCCCCTCCCCTCGTGCCAGCGTCTCCGGAGCTTCCATGTTAATGGCCCTGTGCTACCGTTTGGGGTTTGGTGGGCGGGATGTGGGGTGGGTTCCCCTTTTTAGTTACGTTTCATTTTTCTGCCTTCTCACCTTTCCCCCCTCTGGTGCGCCCCTCCCACGAAGAGCAGCTGCCTCCGCTGTGCAGCTGCTGCTGAAACTTGCCAAACCGGCTACGACTCGGCCTCCCCCCCCCCCTTTTCCCCCCCCCCCCCCTCCAGGGGCCTTCCCTTGGGGGGGCCCCCCCCCCTTCCCCCCCCCCCCCCACTCGGTGGGGACCCTCAGCTTTCTCCATTCCAGCGGTGGGACCGCTTTTGAGCAGGACTCCACTCCTAGCCAAGGCTTGCGGGGGGTGGGGAGGTAGGTATCTGAAGGCATAGGGTTCAGTATAGAGCCCCCATTCCAGAATTAGTCCGTCATTCCCAGTGTACGATTTTTTTTATTGGTCTCTGTATGTGTGTTTTGGAAATCCATGTGGAATGGCAGCTGTGTTCCCAGCCCCTCCTCACCCCCCCTCCCAGTGATCCACTCCCCCTCTTAACTGCCATAAAGGCTTTGTGCTTGTCTGTAGTACTGTGTATAAATGAGATATTGTGGAGAAAGCTTCGCCCTCTCGAAGTTGCGGGGTGAAAGTAACAGAACAATGGAAGCAGCACCAATGATCTTCAATAAAAAAAAATTAATGCTCCCTTTTGCTCCCATTTCTGAGCTACTCCCTCACCCATGCTTTGGGGTTAAGCACAGGGTGTTGCGGGTGCTACATTCGTTCCTGGTTCTCGGCCAAGAAAAACACGCAGCTAAACCTGCCCGAATTATGCTGGTCCATTAACCCTGGATGGTTTTGCTGTAGCCAAGTCCTGGTTTGGTGGTGGGAATGCAGGCACTGAGCTATGTCAACGCGCTTTCTCTTCCCCTTCAGCTGCAGCTCTGCTTCAGACACCTCCTAAACACTTCCCTGTCTTCCCAGCCCACAAGGGCTGAGAAAACAACCTTCAGGATTCTCCAGTCTGGAATAATAAGCACCGCTCAACGGTTCTGTCCCTCCCAAGTACAGGCACGTCCCTTCGTCACTGCTTTCTCAAAGCCGGAGCGCATGGCCTTTCTGACTCCACAGGCCCCATCCAGCCGGGAGGCAGAGCCGCAAGAGTTCGGGATGGGTCTCGCACGTGTCTGGAGAGAGGCGAAAGCCGTTCCACCCCCGGCGACCGCCTCTGGTATCGACGCCTCTCTGCCGCGAGGAGTAGCAGGAAAGGAGGAAGCGCTGATGCAGCGGGGCCGAGTCGCTTGCGCTCTAGCTCCTGGGCTGGGCGGTGTGGAGAAGTGGGTGAGGCCCGCCAGCTTCTGGCCCCATGCAGGGGGCAGCCAGGTCGTGCCCCTGCCCTTAATTGTCACGGATGGATCGGCTTTAATGTTTGAGTGGGTGAGCATTAACATGCAGGCTCCCCATGCGATTTGCCTGGCCGCTTTGCTAAGTTAATACCAAATCAAGCAGAGCTGGGGGAATTTGAGCAGCAGTTAACCTATAAACTCTTAACTGAAAAGCATATTCAAATATAGAACCTTTTGCCTGATGGGAAGTATTCTGCAATGCTTTCTCACTCAGGCTGGGAAGCAGTGGTTGCTTCCTTATTTGTAAATCTGGCAGGGTGCACTTCTGCAGCACTGTTGAAATCCACTTAAGCTTGGACTCTGGTCAGCCTGCGGCCGGCCTGGGTGTTGCAATCCAAGCTTTTTTGCCTTCGCCGTGTGCAGCTCGGAGGCTGGAAACCGGGGCAAGGGGTTTCTCCAGCATCAAATGGCACGCTTGCTCCAAAGGCTGCGCACGCGCTCAAGTTACCAATGCGGGGGCTTAGATTAACAGGAAGGGGATCCAGGTGGGGCAGACTGTTCAGTTGTGGGGCTGGTGGGCTCTCGGGTTTTACTGCTTGGGCCTGCCGCAGTAGTAGTTTTCCTGGATTAGCAAGATTGGGCCAGATGACCTTCGAGGCCCCTTTTGCAGCTTGCAGGAGGCCACCTTGCGCCACGTGGCCCAGGCCTGGCTCACCTAGACCTCCCAGCTGTACCACCTGCCTGAGAGCTAACCTGGGGAGGCCAAGCTCTCCTCCTGCTGCCGCTTTCCCCATTCTAAGCCTCTTGGGCCAGCCCGGCACTTCCGATGTAGGGAAGAGACGAGGGGGCCTCGTTTGGGCGCAGACCGCTGCTTTGCCCCCACTCCCCACGTTGTGCGAGTTGTCGCAGTGGAAGTGGAGCGTTGGGAGTGTGTTGCACAGACAGGCCTGCGCTTGTGGGGACTTGCGCTCGTGGTCCCCGCGCACCCCTCTGCCGACTCACGCCAGATGTTCGCCGTCTCCAGTCCCTTCTCGCATCCTGGCTGCTCCGTCGCATCCTGGGTGCGGCTGCCCGGTTACCTTGGTTCCTCGGAGAGACAGATCAAAGTCCTGGGTGGAGCACACGGCTTTTCTGTAAGTCATCGGTGCCTCAGCACCCGTGCAGGTGAGTCACGCCGCCACCGCCTCACCTGCCAAGAGTTCGCGACTGGCAGAGCTGCTGAGAGTCCAGCCAAGAGATGCAGGGCTTTGCTCTCCCACCGGCTGGCCCAGTTGAAACCAAGCCCGTGAATTAGCAGCAGAGGGGGTGAGACCAAACCTAGGAAGAACATCTACACCCCTGCATGGTGTAGATTTGTATTTGATGTTGTAAGCCGCCCCGAGGCCTTGGCAAGGGGCGGCATAGAAATGTTTTAATAAAATAAAGCCGGAAAGAGACTTTGCCCTGGGTACACCTGGTGGGCTTGTCTCCCTAGCCAAGTTTTCTAACCAGAGGTGCAGAACCTCTGCTCAAAGGCTGGATTTTCTTTTGGAGAAGCAGTTTCTGGCGGGGACATTCCTGGCCTGGGCGGACCCCAAAATACCCACATGCTTAATTTCCTCTTGCCGGAAGTGCTCTCAGAAGTGGAGAACAAACTACATGCAAAGCATTGAAACCACTGAAGGATTGAGAGCCAGGGAACGGATGGCTCCGTAGTTGTGCATTACGTCACTGGTTATACTGATAGGAGCTAGAATCCAACCGACCCCAAAGATCCTCATGCTCGTCTCCCCGTTTAAGTATTTGGCTGGCTGGGGCAGCTGGGAATGTAGGGCTACTTTCATTCTAAACATATATACGTCATGCCGTAATTTCCCCTTTGTCCTGGAACCAGCATTGCAACGGTGAGCGATTTCTAGGCTCAGAGATAAACATTACCCTTTGTTCTCGGTTGCTAGGAGTGCGAGACAGCATAAAATGAATCCCGGAGAGGCTCACAGCCTAGTTTTCCTGGGTGGGAGACCCATTTTTTAATTTGTCCAAAGGGCCTCTGCTCATATGCAGAGTTTCTATTCCATCAGAATTTCTCCGCAATGGTACGAGGAGGACCAGCCGTAGGTTCAAACGGAGAGGCGGCGACTGCCAAAAACGGTCTGAACCCAATCATCTCCGCAATGTAGAAAGCGAGCATTGGATACAATCCAGTGTATTTACGAGGGGGGCGTATTTGTAACACCGAGGCATTTTTGCAAAAGGGTCTAATTAAACCCTCTGCTATGATTATGATTGCCATGGTAACTTGAACAAAATTGCACGGGGGGGGGCGGGCAGAGGAAGATTTTGGACAGCTGTTAAAAACTGTGCTTTGCTGCGCTCTGCAGGCCGTTAGAATGTAAGACAAGCCCAGGGTCTGTTGCGTCCAACGTGCCGATCAGACAGCGAGTGGCCAGCCAGGGAGGAGACATCCAGCAACGTACCCTCCCGCCCATGTTCCCCAGCAACCGGTGCATCTCGGCATATCGCCTCCAAACCTGGAGTTTGCCTGGAGCCACCTGGCTAGTAGCTGTGAACGTATCCAGGAACGTATCCCGACCCATTTTAAGCTATCCGAATGCGTGGCCACAGCTCCATCCTGTGGGAGGGGGTGCCATGGTTTTAACCATGTGCTGGCTGCAAATCTCCCACCAGCCAGCTTTGTAGGATGACCCCTTTAAATTCGGGTATTATAAGGAGAAGAGAAAAAAGCTTCCCTTGCCATTTTCTCCACACCGTGCATAATGCTGAACATCTCTGTCTTTCTTCGAGAGGCTGGGGGGAGCTCAGGCATGTTTGGCGACTTCACGTCTCTTTCTAGCAAGTTGAAATTTGGGTTTTATTTTTTAGTCTCTGCCTCCCAGGGCCAAAACAGGAGGACTTGTGAATAGAAAGTGCGAGTACTGCGGTGTCTGAAAAAGGCAGGATGTTTCTTTTCATTCAGGTGTGTTGACAAGCTTTTTTATTTCTGTCACTGCACCATCTACGGCACAGTCCGTGCTTTGAATGCAAACATAACCTGGTTCAATTTCTGGCTTCTCCAGGTGGGACTAGAACAAGTTCTGCCTGACACTGCAGAAATTCCTGCTACCTGTCATGGTCTTCACAGTTCTGGGCTATCCATAATTTTTATTATTTGCATTGCATGTGTTTAAAATAATTATGGTCCCTATTTTAAAATAATGCACATTTTATATATTGTTTCAGTATATTTTTATGCAGTAATGCTGCATTCAGCTATGCCATATGAAATAAATAAGTTCTGGGTTAGAAAGACCTGTGGGTAGAAAGCAGCTTTCTGTGTTCAGAAACATTCAGAACCGAAAGGACTAGAACCTTTATTTCTAGATGAGGGGCCATAGATTGGTGCTCTTTGAAAAGGCTTCTCACCCTCCTCCTTCAAATCCCAGAGTTTTTGGCTGCCAGTCAGCTTTTACAAAACTGATCTAGGGTAAGGAATGCTTCGCAACCTGTCCAATACAGCAGAACCCAGAAGACATAGACATGACAGGGCTGAGAATGGATTCTACTCTAATCAGGAAACAGATAACAAAGTGGTTTAGGACATTTTTTGCATTAAAGGATTTAGTAAAGTACCTGGGTAACGGAAATGGACGTCCAGTTTCTGAAGGATAAATCCCAATGGGCGGCATACTATATATTTAAGATACAACTTTCGCACCCTCCTCTGATTCAGCAGTTTCTATATGCACAGCACTGGTATGTCCTGTTAAGGGCTCCTCGAATCGCCTGTTTTATCGTTTATCATTGCAAAGATGGGATAGCCCTTCCCATGCAGTGAGGCCTTTGAACTCAGGAGCTGAATTCCTTTTCAGAGCTGCTGGGCAGGGGCTGAACCAAAAAGGAGTGGCCCCCGAAATGCCATTTCACTGAGAGACGCTTCACGTGGGTTTTCCCACCTCCTGCTGCCAGTGCCAGGGTGGCCGGGTGTCCTCCTCTTACAAGGAGCCTTTCCCTTTTGGAAGGGTTGTGCTATGGAAATAAAGCCTAAAACTGCTTTGAGCAGCTCAGAACAGTTTTCCCCTCTAGGAGGATAAATGCTGCATTTATAGTATTTACTTCTAACTTAGCGACTGTCCGCTATTGTGCAGGGGTGTTATACTTTCTCTCTTTTTTGGTGGTCCTAGCAAGCCAAGATGTCTCTGTGATACCATTTCTTGGCTGAAAATCTTTCTTAAAACTATTCCATGGGTCAATACGCAGAACCTTTGCTTCGCCGGCCGAAACTCTCCAGTAAAAAGGACAAGACTGGAAAGCGATGGAGACCATTTTCTGCTCGAGACCCTGGAGAGAGGGCGACCTATCAAAGCAGCCCCTGCGGAGCTG